TGTGCCATATCATCATCCTGAAAAACAAATGTATTCAGAGCTGCTTTCGGTGACGTGACTTCCTTTTGAAAGGAAGTTGTATCATTTTTCAAATCTTTATAATCAATGAGATCTTCGAGACGTGCCTGTTTAAGCTTAGAAATGTCTAGTTTAAGTTAATCAATTTCTCTTTTAAGTGCAGAATTTTCTTTCTTAATTTCAGAAACATCATAACTGTCGATTTTTGAGGTGTTTGAAATGAACCTCTTTCTAACCTGAGATAACTCGTCAGGTGCTCGAGAACGAACTCCATCCTCATTGGAAGAGAGGCTCTTTGGACGCGATAATAATATCTCCTCCCCCTCATCATATTTTATTTCCTCCCATTCCATACCCATAGCATACAACTCGTAATAACCGCTATCATCTCCTGCATTATTTGCAGGAGGTAGATAGATAACATTATCATCTAGGGAAGATAGGCTAAGGGGCAGAGAAATCTCCCCTTCTTCTTCAATGCTATCATCCTGAAGAGATGGATCGAAAAAACGAACTTCATCCTTATTGGAAGAGAGGCTCTTTGGACGAGACAGTATCTCCTCCCCCGCTTCATCTTTTATTTTCTCCCATTCCGTACCAATGGCAGAGAATTCCAGGGTTCTGATATCACCTCCTGCATCACCTGCAGGAGGTTGATATGTAACACTATCATTTAGTGAAGAGAGGCTATGGGGCGGAGAAGGGTCCTCTTCCTCTACATAGCTAACATGCTGAAGAGATGGATCGCCACTTGGTGGAATGCAGATATCAGCGATGTCTTCTTTGGTCTTAGGAACCATTTGGTCCAGGACTTGAGCTCCATGACCTGTCCCTTCTGGAGTAGCTCCAGCAGTCTCTTCAGTGTTGATGCCTGGGCTTGGTGGAGGACCACCAAGGTTCTTGATGTCCAGTGGAGCCAGGTCTTGGGTAGGAAGTTCTTCTTCCAATGGATGGTCATCGAGTACCCTGTCAGGTTCCCTGGATGAATGAATTCTGTTTAAATAGTTTAATACGAAGGAAGAGTTTCATTCTAAAATTTACCGTAGAAATGGTTACTTTATCAGCAATTAGTTCCGTTTCCACATCTCATTTAACTTTTCATAATCTTGAAGACGACAATTAAGGCTTTTAAGTTGGGCTCCCACTTAGGCAAGTTGTATTAGCGAGTTATAGCGAGTTGTGGTGAGTTGCCTCAAAGAGGCACTCGCAATAACTCGCGAACAGCTCTTCTTGTAACTCGGGATAACTTGCAACAATTCGGTATGGCTTAGCGTAACTCCTTACATTCCACGACTCTCCTTGAAGTCGCGAGCAGTTCCAAAATTTTGAGCATGTTCAACATGTTCGCCGATTCGTTGTAATTTGAGGTGAACTCGCATACACTCGTAATATACTCGCATTAATCGTAACACGCTCGCGCTGCACTCTTCATAACTCGTAGCAACTCGCCACCTTATGAAGAGCGCAGCGCGAGCTTGTTACGAGTATATTACGAGTGTAAGCGAGTTCACCTCGACGAGTAACAACGAACCAATTTGTTGTAACTCGAGGTGAACTTGCTTAACACTCGTAATATACTCGCATTACTCGTAACAAGCTCGCGCTGCACTCTTTATAACTCGTAGCACCTCGCCACCTTATGAAGAGTGCAGCGCGAGCTTGTTACGAGTAATGCGAGTATATTGTGAGTGTAAATGGGTTCACCTCGAGTTACAACGAATCGGTGAAATTTGGAACATGTTCAAAGTTTTGGAACTGCTCGCGACTCTAAGGAGAGTCGTGAAATGTCGAAGTTACGACGAGCCATACCGAGTTGTCGTGAATTATCCCGATTTACAAGAAGAGCTTTCACGAGTTATTGCGAGTGCCTCTTTGAGGCAACTCACCACAACTTGCCATAACTCGCTAATACAACTCGGCTAAGTGGGAGACTTGCTTTAGTTACATGTCGGAATATATTTTTAAATGTAGACATTCTTTCCAACAACCCCGAGCCTCCCATTTGCAACAAAGTCATTGACATGACATAGTCTATTCTTACCTATAAACATGGTAAACAAGTAATGTTAGTGGATATTCACAACATATGCGTGTGTCCATCTGGTTTAAGTGTGGGTATCAAAATTTGAACACCTAACATTGTTGTATGACTCTTAAACAACACCTGAATGTACCTTGAATTCTCTGCAACACAACTGTTTGAGTGTTCGTCCATTTTCTTTATCCAGTGATTCATGGTAGTGCCAAGTTTTGATTTGTATCTCTCTAGAGTACTGTAAAGAAAGAAAAAGACAGCTTGTCAGTTATGAACAAAGAATATGAACAAATAGTCATACAAATACATGTAGCATGAAATCAAAAAAAAATCTTTGCAAACATCATTTTCGAGTCCATTGTGGCATGCTAAGGTTTTTTGTGCAGAATCTGAGTAATGATGGCCATTTCTTTAACCTGGGGTGGCCGAGCATCTTCAAAAGTGTGGGGGGGGGGGCACCAACCAAAGGTCACTTTTATTTTATGAGGTCGCAGTGCGAAAATGACATCTTATAGACAAAAAAAAATGAAATTTCTGATGAGCACAATCTAATTATGAAAGACTGGGAAATTTTCATGATAGACTGAAAAGACCTTTTGTAAGTAACATAAAGGGCACTTTTATTTTAAAGGGGGCAGTTATCAGAGGTGAAATTGGGTTCTTCTCACTTTTGAAAAAGGAACACTCGCCAGAGATGGAAAAGGGCACTTTTGAGAACAGAAAAGAAGCGCCTATCTAAATTTAATAAGGGCATTTATCAGATGTGAATTAATCTGTATTTTTAGAATGGAAAGGGGCTCATTAAAAAAAAGGAAAAGGAAATTACTTATCCAAAGGAAATAGTGTAATTATTAGAAAGCAAGCGGGGCGCGTGTCAAAATAAAAGGGGCACCTATCAGAGGTAGTGAAAGGGGGGGGGGGCAATTAAAAAAAAATGGGTTCTCGTTAAAAAGTGAGAAAGGCACTTATCAAAAGGGAAAATGTGCACTTATTAAAAAGGAAAAGAGGCACGCGTCAAATTGAGAAGTGTTACTATCGGAGGTGAAAAAGGATTTATGAGAAAGGGAAAGGGCTCATTTGAAGAAGAAAAAGGGCCATATATCAGAAGGAAAAGGGTACTTATTAGAAAGAAATTATCAGAGGTGAAAAGGGGAATTACTGGCACCTGAATGGAGGCACTCACCAGAGATGAAAACAAAAAGAAAAGGGCACTTATTAGAAATGAAAAGGGACACGTGTCAAAGTAAAAAGGGCAATCATCAGAGGTAAAAAGGGAAATTACTGGCACCTGAACAGAGGCACTCACCAGCGATGAAAAGGGTCCTGATGAGCATATAAAATAAACGCTTATTATAAAGGAAAAGGAGCATTTGTTACCTTAGACAGAAATCAGTTGTCTTTTTCATGCATTTGTGTTCCTTTCAATCTTAGGGGTGGTTGAGATTAATAATATCCTCAATGTCTTAGTAACTCTATTTTGTCGTTTCTATCTAGTGCAAGTGTGTGTTTACATGTGTGAATATCAGCGTGTAAGAGTGGGGCTGTTGGCTGTAAGCCCTCACCGGCCCAGCCCCAACAATTATTGATCATACATTAATTTTTTTTAAAGGTAGAGTTCTGGGGAAAGGTGAAAAATAATTTGTGAGCGTTATTGTTATTATGCAGTTGTGGAGGAACATGAAAGTGAAAAATGTTCCCTGAAATACATGGTTCTTCAAACGCCTTAATATTATAAATATGACAAGTAACAGCTTAAAAATGAGGCCCGATTTTTATGCCATATGTTTGTGTAGTCTCATATACAACGTTATGTGTACAGTGCTTGTTACTTTACCAAGACTGGGCCAAATTTCTTATCATGTTGATGACTCCAAAACCTTGCAGTACACACTTCGTGATTAATCCAATCGCATGAACAGAACTCAATGTTATCTTTATAAGCGAGGCAAACAACCGTGCCTGGGTATACGGTTTCATTTTATTTTGCAGGACTCCGATTTGTGTTCTTGAAAGTTGGAGGTTGATTACATTTTGGAGGGGCCTTACGTGTACAGTATATTGAACCATCTATCAATTTTGTAACAATGAATGATTGAGCCCCCCTCCAAAAAAAAAAAGCACCAACAAAAAATGTTGTCATTTATTGTTAATCAATTTTGTTTTATATATTTATTATTTACTTGTTTTTATATTCATTTATATAAATAACTATTCAGTCATTCACTTTTGACATTCTAGTGTTGCCCTTGGTTATTACACAAATAATACACAGCAGTGAGGGCATTTATAGTACGAATGCCGAGGGTGTTTGGACTCTTTTGAAGGTACCGAGTGTGGTTAATTTTACTAATGCCCGAAAAATGATATGTATTATTTTTTTTTATAAGATTATGTTTTATAAAATGATGTCTTATAACATGATTTTGATAATGACCGATCATTATCCAAATTACGCGTTAAGGCAAAAACAATGCCTATTCACGTGTACGCTTTCAACTAATCATTTGATTATGATCTACGTCATCATCTTACTAAACAATCTATAATAATTCCACCCACTCACACACATTATTATTTTTTCTCTCTATTTTTTCCAATCTTGGCCCAACATCTATAAAAATTAATCTTTACATCGCTCATCTCTCCTCATTTCATCCTTCAGTATTTCTCCCTTCCTTTCCACTCTTTCAAGAACAGCACATAAATCTCTCTCTCTCTTTCTCTCACCTTCTTCCATCCAGCCTCTACATACACCTCCATTTCTCTTCTCCCCAATGTCTCTACCATCTCAGTAACATTCCCCCCCCCCCCCTCTCTCTCTCTCTCTCTCTCTCTCTCTCTTATCATAACTCTACATTACTATGCAGCAGTCATTTTACAACGAATTCATGCATGTATTATGCTTCAACTAGAACTTACACAAAGGAAATAACAACGATATTAGTAACACGGAATACCATAACATTATTATTAGTAATTTCAAAGACAATAATAGCCATACTACCAACAACAACAACAATAATAAACACAATTACAACTACTTTAAAAAAAAAATAACTCAGGGGCAATTTCAATAACCCATTGCACGTCCCATATAATTCATATTCGGATTACAATTTCAAAATGTGACGTACAAGGATCTTGAAATTGCCTTCTATAGCATGATTCTTATTTAATCTTGAACAAAGTTTGCCTTCACACAGAGAATATTTTCTGTATGAAGCAGCATAAATCAGGCTTGGCCAATGATTTGTATTAGAAGCCAGGTTCTGATTAGTTAAGCTGTCTCTGTTCTTGATAGTTATCGGTTGTCGTTAGTTTGACAGTAGTCAGTTAACAGGGTCACCACGTGAAGGTCGACAACATTAACCCCGAAATCCTAGTTCCTCTTTAATAGACCCAAATAGGATTTCACACTTTGGGTCTAATGCATTGCAGCTCGGGTTTGTCACTCCTACCACAGATGTACCCCTACTGCTATCGTGATACTCCAACATGTCATCTGGGGCAAATACACCCTGGTGAAATCTCTGAGCATCATTTTCAGATCGTCATATAGCGGTATGAAGATCTGCCAGGGGGTTGTGCCTCTTTTATCAGCATTGCCACCATCGAGGCCAGCAGATGTATTCCTCTCCCTCTTTGCTTTCAAAGAGGCGACCTCCCTTCTCAGCTTCTGCCGCTCTCTTCCACACTGCATTCCCTTTGCTCTGGTCAACTTGTAGCAGTTTAAAGACCTCCTGCTGACCTCTTTACTCAACCTACTCGCTTTAAATGGACAGACAGAATCTTATCCGGCTGGGAGGAGAGGCTCTTAGGGATCGAGAATTGCTCCCCTCCTGACAGGTCTGTCGTTGGCATTTCCACTGCTTGCATGATGTCCCCTTCATCATCAGGGAGAGGAGCTAGGAGTATCCCACCATCGTCCGATGAGAGGCTGGTAGGCTGAGATAACTTCTCATCCAGCTGGGAGGAGAGGCTCTTGGGCCTAATTGAGAATTGCTCCCCTCCTGAGAGGCGTTTGTTTGGCATTTCCACTGCTTGCATGTTGCCCCCCTCATCATCAGGCAGAGGAGCTTGGGATACCCCACCATCCTCCGATGAGAGGCTGGTAGGCTGAGATAACTTCTCATCCAGCTGGGAGGAGAGGCTTTTGGGCATCGAGAACTGGTTCCCTTCTGACAGGTGTGTGTTTGGCATTTCCACTGCTTCCATGAAGCCCCCCTCATCATCTGGGAAAGATGGAAGGTGTACCCCACCATCCTTTGACGAGAGGCTGGAAGGCTGAGATAACTTCTCTTCCTCCTCCATCCCATCATCGCCATGAGGCAACCCAGCAATGTCTTCCATCTTTGAAGATTGTGGCTGGTCCCCCAGTTCTATGTCTACTCCTGGGGCACTAGTATAGCCTCTCTCCTTGACATTGTTGTCGTGGTCGAATGGTGGAGAATCATCATTGTGCTCGAAGTTGGCAGGATCTGGAGGGGGTCGACACTTGTTTTTGGGCTGCCCATGATCTTGGTTTGGAGGCTCTCCTGTGATTGGACCGTGCTCTCCATAATCTCTGCAAAGATAGATAAAATTTCAAAATTAAATTTACTTCTGATTGTAGGTTTCATTTGTATGTTTGTTTGTTAGTTTGTTTTATTTATTCACAATGTAAGATAATGCTTTACACATAATACAATTCAGTGGGTTACATCGAGATATAATACGTAGTAGGAACAGTGCATAATCAAAAAAAATTGGAGCGCAACGTCCCTAAGATAACATAGCTGATACTTATTAGGTTGAGATAGAACATTTCATTTCATTTCATTTATTTTCATATTTCTCATGTTACATATACATTTCAAATAAAGTACCAGTTGTTTTTTCAATGATACATAATAAATAACATAAAGATCAATGGTCAACATAGAGTACTGATTTAATTGAGAGAAATATGATGGGACCTACTACATGAAGGCAAGCTTGTAAAGCTGTAGGCTCCAGTAAAATAGTTTGTGGTAATGAATGGAAGACGGATATAAATAGTGACTAGTCTAAATGGCTTAAAATAAAACATTCTGTAAAACTATAAAGTCTTATAAGCCAATTTCGCTGACAATTCCTTTCTTTTATCTGTCAAAAATTGAAATTTGCAAAAATTCATCAACAACAAAAATTCAATATCATAAATATGACTGTATGGGAAGATTTTATTTGAAAAATATTAAGTGATTTTAAAATAAAAAAGATATTTGGTTTCTAGCTCTTTCATAAACAACTGCCATCTCATACATTTTTCTGAAATGTTAATGATACAATAAATGAGTCTTAGCTAAATACATTACAATTGCTCTTTGAAACAGTATATACCTTTCATACTTGGGTAGAAAGCTCTCCCTGTCCTCCTCCTTTTCCATCATCAGCTTGTACATACTGTTCGACAGCAATGCTGCAAGCTCAAGTACAGACTACAGATGAAGCTTGAACTTGTTAAGCAGACACGATCTATAAAGAAATAAGTATGATCAATTGTAATTCATTCTGGTTAGGTCGACTAAAACTGAACCATAGGCTGATCCCATCATGCATCAGTACTACAAGATGACAGTACCTTGCATAGTCCAGAATCTGCCCAAGCCGCAGAAGATGGCGTTATCAATAAACTCATAATTATGCTCACCAGGTTCTTTATATTCCTTTTAATATGGATGGAATAAAGCAAACATATAGTGGAATGTATAAAAGCAACATTTATAATATGAGTCTACATGACAATAACAGATAATAAGTTTAGACCTTTCAATTTTTCATAGCACTTTGCAAAACTGGTATACCAGTGTAGTGACTTGACCTTTGGAGAACTTTGCATTTGTAAATATTATTGTCTTGTCTTTATTGTGTGGCTTGAAGTCTAGCCTTTTATTCCATTGTCACTCATTTCTTTAGTGACACCTGTTGCATTACTAGAGTGCCACAAATACTTACTCTGGCAAGCACATTCCATACCCTATGGGTTGGGATGTGCAACCACCTAATGTACTGGTATAGCTTATACTGTACAGGGACATTACACTTGCTTGCTTTATTTGCCACACCTATTTTCATCACTTCTCCTGAGCTGTTCATATAGAGCACACGTATTCTAGAGAGTCTATCTACAGCAAAGCTAATTCAGCTTCATCTTAATTCTTGTCATATTTCTTCGCTTGTTTCTCTACTCGGTTCTGAGGCCTTATTACTTTATAGAGATTATAAGTTTCTTCTTCTTTACTTAATTCGCGAAGAAGCGTCATTACTTTGTACATGGTCTTACATATTCTTTCTACGGGTGCTGTGCAATATTTGAACTACTACTTGTGATATAATATATGTTCCAAGTATCTGTACTCAACAGGTGTTTCTACGAGACAAGGTAGGAAAGAAATCTATTTCTATTTCTTTTATTTAGGTGATTAAATTCCCTAAACTGGTGACCCCGACGTGATCCATTTTTTTCTTCTTCTGTTGATCTAATCTACCTTGTCATCGTCATTATCATGCCTGATACTGATAGCAATGTATTACCTAGTGAGGCTTCTGAGCCATCCCCTCAAGTCTCATATGTTAGTTTAAAGCTTCCACCATTTTGGGCACATGATCCTGATATTTGGTTTGTTCAGGTTGAGGCTCAGTTTCAAACTAGAGGTGTCTCAGTTGAGTCTACAAAGTTTGCTTATGTTGTCGCCTCATTACAACCAGAGGTAGCTCTAGAGGTGCGCGATATTTTAATTGCCCCTCCCCAAACAGAGCCGTACAAGATACTAAAAGCAGCACTGGTTAAGCGAACTTCTGTCTCTGAGCAAAAGCGTCTGAACAAATTGCTGACGAGTGAAGAGTTAGGCGATAGGTCGCCCTCCCAACTCCTTAGGAGAATGCAACAATTATTAGGCTCTAATACTTTGGAAACTAGTATACTTAAGCAATTATTTTTGCAACGCCTGCCAACCAATGTACAGTTGATTCTCGCTTCCACAAGCGATGATGTCAGCTTGGTTGCGCTAGCGGCATTAGCCGACAAAATTGTTGAAGTTGCTGGTCCGCCTACTATTTCTCATGTCTTACCTAAAGAAGTGCCAGCGCAGACTTACGCTTGCGTTACTCCCAATGACTCTGGTGAAGTACATCGACTTTCTACCCAGGTTGCTCAACTGGCTGCTCAGGTACAAGCCTTGACTTGTTCTATACAGGAGGACCGCAGAAGTCGCAGTCGACAGCGAGGCCCGAAGAATTCCGGCCCTCGCCAATCAGCTTCCCGTAGCCCGAGTCGTCATCAACAACATGCTGGGGCTGAATGTTGGTACCACTGGAAGCATGGCAAACGAGCCCAGAAGTGCATAAGTCCTTGTTCATACTCAGCAGGACAAAGCCGCCCTGGATATGTCCAGGGAAACGGGCCCGCCAAGGAATAGCGGCGACTAATTCACTTGGCACCATTCAACCCAGTCGCCTTTTCTTTGTTCATGATAAACAATCAGGCACGCGTTTTCTTGTTGATACTGGGGCCGAAGTTAGTATTTTCCCTCATACCATGTTAGGAAAATCGGCAATGGTAAGTGCAACAAATATCCAACTTCAAGCTGTTAACAAGTCACCCATTAAGACTTTTGGCCAGAGATCTTTCACTCTTGATCTTGGGTTGCGGCGAGTTTTTCGTTGGATTTTTGTTGTCACGGACATACCTACACCTATCTTGGGAGCCGATTTCCTTGATAACTATGGACTATTAGTCGACATCAAACATCGACGGCTGATAGACACCACCACCACTCTTACAGTACAGGGAGTCGGTACATACACAGGCATCATTAGCCCGGTGTATGTCAAGCAAGATACTTCGGAGCGTTTCCACTCCCTTCTTCGTGAGTATCCTGACATCACCCGGCCAGTGTACAAGCACTCAGAAGTCAAGCATACAACCACCCACCATATCCAAACTCGAGGCCCACCTGCTTCAGCTCGCCCTCGTCGGCTTGCTCCAGATCGGCAGCAGATTGCCAAGGCAGAGTTTGAACACATGCTTGAACTCGGCATTATCAGACAATCTGATAGCAACTGGTCAAGTCCCTTGCACATGGTTCCGAAGAAGACACCAGGGGACTGGCGACCTTGTGGAGATTATCGCATGCTTAATGCTCGTACTATTCCTGATAGATACCCTATTCCTCATTTGCAAGATTTCTCTGCGTCACTTAGTGGCAAGACAATCTTTTCCAAGATTGATCTCATCAGGGCATATCATCAGATCCCAGTCGAGCCTAGCGATATCCACAAGACAGCTATAACCACCCCTTTTGGATTATTCGAGTTTGTTAGGATGCCGTTTGGCCTTCGCAATGCAGCTCAGACATTCCAAAGATTGATGGATGATGTCACTCGCGGTCTTCCTTTCGTCTATGTTTATCTAGACGATATTCTTGTAGCTAGTACTACCAAAGACGAACACGAGACACATCTCCGTTTACTCTTTGACCGCCTGCAAGAGTATGGAATCATTCTCAACCCCGCTAAGTGTCAGTTCGGAGTACCTTTACTGTCCTTTCTAGGGCATAAAGTTGACTCGGAAGGAATACAGCCACTTAGTGACAAGGTGAAGATCATCCGTGATTTTCCGATACCTACATCACTTACCAAACTACGAGAGTTCCTCGGGCTGATCAATTTCTACAGACGGTTCATTCCGCGGTGTGCAGAAGTACTCCAGCCTCTCACGGATCTGTTGAAAAATAGATTGAAGAAGAACCAACCAATCACCCTAGGTGAACAAGAACTTTCTGCTTTCAATCAGGCTAAAGATCAGTTAGCTAACGCTGCAGTTTTAGTTCATCCTAGAATTGATGTTCCTCTATGCCTGTTGGTTGATGCATCTGATGTGGGAGTTGGGGGAACTATCCAACAGCTGGTAGATGGTATTTGGCAACCGTTGGCTTTCTTTTCTAAGAGACTACAGCCTGCCGAGACTAAGTACAGCACTTTCGGTCGGGAACTGTTAGCAGCCTACCTCGGTGTAAAGCACTTTCGACATCTACTTGAAGGTCGCACATTTACCATCTACACGGATCACAAACCTCTCACCCATGCTTTGAATTCAAAGCCTGACCGACACTCACCTCGTGAAATCCGCCAGCTTGATTTCATATCCCAATACACATCTGAGATACACCACATAGCAGGAAGGGAGAACACAGCAGCAGACGCTCTCTCCCGTCTGTGTATCGACAGAGTTGATTCATCCTCGGTCATAGATTTTGCAGCCATTGCGAAAGATCAAGAGGATGATAGTGAGGTACAGGACTCCTCGCTTCAGCTCAAGTCTATATCGCTTCCTGGTTCTTTTACTACCATGCTATGTGATGTTTCGACAGGTGTTGCTAGACCCCTTGTTCCAGTCAAACACAGACGAGCTATTTTTGACGCCCTCCACGGACTATCCCATCCTGGGATCAGGGCCACTCAAAAGCTCATCACGGAACGTTTCGTTTGGCCTGGTATTAATCATGATATCAGGAAATGGGCCAGAACATGTCTTGAATGCCAGAGATGCAAGGTGCATAAACACACAAAAGTTCCACTTGGCACTTTTACCTCACCTGATGCGCGTTTCTCTCATGTGCACATCGATCTTGTAGGCCCACTTCCTACTTCAGAGGGTAACACGTACCTTCTTACTTGTGTGGATCGTTACACCAGATGGCCAGAAGCTATACCTATCCCAGATATCACTGCGGATACTGTAGCACATACTTTTGTGGCCAGATGGGTAGCGGTGTTTGGTGCTCCAACTACTCTTACTACAGACAGGGGTAGACAATTTGAGTCAGCACTCTTCCTTGCTCTCACTAATCTTCTTGGCACTAAACGCATTCGCACAACAGCATACCATCCAGCAGCCAATGGGCTTGTTGAGCGTTTTCACAGGCAACTCAAAGCCTCTCTCAAGGCGCATAACACAGTCCGTTGGACTGAGGTCCTTCCCTTGGTATTGCTGGGTATACGTACAGCTATCAAGTCTGATCTGGGATGTTCCGCAGCAGAACTCGTTTTTGGTACTACGGTCATGCTACCGGCCCAATTTGTGTCTCCTTCGCAGACTGACTCTGCTGGCGATCCAGCTAATTACGCCCACAGACTGAAGAGACTGATGCGTGAATTACATCCCACCCCTACTCGCAAACAACGAGCTACCCCTACACAGGTACACCCAGAGTTGCATTCCTCATCCCACGTCTTTTTGAGGGTTGATGCAGTCAAGGGGCCCCTTCAACCTCCTTACAGGGGGCCTTTTCGAGTCCTTCAACGCTCTGACAAGTTTTTTACTATTGATTACAATGGTAAACGTGAAACTGTCAGTGTTGAGAGACTTAAACCATGGAGCAAGATCTCCCTGCTCAATCTAAGAAGGGTCAAGATCCACCTATCCAAGTCCCTCGGCAATCCAACTCCGCAGACTTAGCACTGGATCCTGCTCCGTTAGCACTGGATCCTGCTCCGTTAGCACTGGATCCTGCACCGTTAGCATTGGATCCTGCACTGAAGCAGAACACTCCTGCGATTCGAAAGACCAGGTCTGGTCGTCAAGTTAGATGGCCAGTGAGGTTCGTGGATTTTTTCGAAGTCGGGTGAAGCATATTAAACTTACTGTGTTTCAACATGCAATATTACCATATTTTCGTATTTTCAAGTCAACATGCATGTAGGTCTATTTTCCTCATCGATTTGTTGCTACTTTTCATTCGACAACAAATCTAGAGGGGAGCTACTGTAGTGACTTGACCTTTGGAGAACTTTGCATTTGTAAATATTATTGTCTTGTCTTTATTGTGTGGCTTGAAGTCTAGCCTTTTATTCCATTGTCACTCATTTCTTTAGTGACACCTGTTGCATTACTAGAGTGCCACAAATACTTACTCTGGCAAGCACATTCCATACCCTATGGGTTGGGATGTGCAACCACCTAATGTACTGGTATAGCTTATACTGTACAGGGACATTACACTTGCTTGCTTTATTTGCCACACCTATTTTCATCACTTCTCCTGAGCTGTTCATATAGAGCACACGTATTCTAGAGAGTCTATCTACAGCAAAGCTAATTCAGCTTCATCTTAATTCTTGTCATATTTCTTCGCTTGTTTCTCTACTCGGTTCTGAGGCCTTATTACTTTATAGAGATTATAAGTTTCTTCTTCTTTACTTAATTCGCGAAGAAGCGTCATTACTTTGTACATGGTCTTACATATTCTTTCTACGGGTGCTGTGCAATATTTGAACTACTACTTGTGATATAATATATGTTCCAAGTATCTGTACTCAACAGGTGTTTCTACGAGACAAGGTAGGAAAGAAATCTATTTCTATTTCTTTTATTTAGGTGATTAAATTCCCTAAACCAGCTTATACCACGGTATTCGGATAATGATAAACGATTGCTGGCCATGCGCCACGCCCCGGTGTTTGTAAACACCATGATCACCATGGCAAGGCATGACGCACACAAATGGCTGACAGTGAGGGTGTTTGCACCCAACCAGCTTTTATGAATAACTCAAATTGAACAAGATCAGAATTCTTTGGAATTGGATTGTCGCTGATTATATAACGTATTGTAAGAGTTTGAAATTGTCTTTATATTTCAGTAAGTAAATTTCTTCTCTCTTCCTTATGTATTATTACATATTCATTTATATATTTGCATTCTTCATTTGCATATTCATTTTCCCAGCTCATGTTCCCATTTCATTCACCTTCTTACAGCAGTCTTTCAGTTGCACTACTGCCACACCTTATTTTCCTCCTTCTTCTTCAAACCCATTCCCTTTGTTGTCTTCTCATTCTCTATGCATGGTTGCCTTTTCCTGCCCTAGCAACATGCACTTTCTCTTCTCTCATTCGTTCTCTTTGCCTCTCACCTTTGATCTATCTAGCCTGTTCACCTCATTGGTTTCTCTTATCACATGACTTTCCCCTGATTGGTTTATTTTGTTATGATGCCTGATTTGTACTAAGAGACATGTTATAATTTTGTATATTAAAGACAGTTCTGTTCCGTCCTTCTTGGTGTGAAGATGTTTTATCTACTGTCCTGAGTTACTTGAGTTTTGTTGGAGAGTTTAGATTGTTTTTGATGCAGCATGGTCGATGATTGATTTTGGTTAGCTATAATTTCCCTCGGTTAAATAAACACGTTACAGATGCAAAGACTGCTTTAATATCGAGTCACGCCTCGGGGTGATAACAGGATGTAACGTCCCCTTGAGCCTATAAAAAAAACTATCCCTCTCATAGCAGTTATTATATCTATACTACGGTATTCGGATAATGATACGACTAGAAATATTGCAATCTCCATTGACTAGATCTATGATCATGATGGACCTCCATACAAAATTTGAAATAAGAATTATCTCAAGAAATGTGGCAGTCAGAGTACGTTTAAGTTGATACCAGATTTGCTATCCTCTGCCTGTTTTTATGTTATAGAGCCGACTTTCCTTGCCACATTGGCCCTGGGCCTGAACCTAAATGCTGCTGAATCCAAATATCCTCCAGCATACTGCACTGCACTGATATACAGTGGCACTGCGCTGCAGCTGCCCCGGTGTTTGTAAACACAATGGCATGACGCATATTAAAAATGGCTGCCAGGCGCAGGCCAGGGCCGGTTCTTTGGATATGGATTATCGCTGATTAAAAAAACGTTAATTCATACTTAAAATGTGTTGTAGAATCTAAGATAGATAAGCTGCAAAATAAATGTATTTTACCTGTTCTTTATCAGATTTGTTCGCAGGATAGGGAGTATAGGCTTGAAGCCAACGATGACGTGGACGTGGGTTGTTGCTTCGCACATCCAAACGGGGATTCCCCCTTTCGTCTAGACAATTAGTCTGCAATTCGAGACTCATTTTGTATTTTTAAAAAATAAACAAAGAAAGTAGCTAGATCTACACAGATTGGAGTATTCCTTAGAGATCAAGTAGTTGTAGCTAGGTTAATTAAAGTATATTTATAAAGAAATGAAGATCTCCTTATGATTTTATAACCCCGATTACGACCATCCAAGATGCTAGTCAGTTTTAAAGACAAATAGGGCCCTTACAAATTATGTGGCTCCAAATCGCCATGTTATTTAGACAGAATCACTAGGTATCTCTCTAGCCTTCCACGGCCTCAGCTCCATTGTATTGCGTTTCATGACGAATTTTTAATTAGATTAATATTCCACGTATAGCCATAAGTGTTTTAAGTTTGTCTGTAAATGGAAAAGACATATATTGTTTTGGTTGTTAGACTATGACCGATGTGCCAGAAAAATTCCAGTTCGAACCAGTTACAACATTTGTATTGATATGAGGCCCGTGTTTGGGAGAACATTGTATGAATATTTTATTGTGTACTTTACTGTTGAAAAGGAAACCATGATTTATAGCTTTCTCATCGTTTTCCAGGGGTGATTATATTTCTTTCGAGCTCCTTACACAAGGAGGGGGAGAGAGAGGGAGGGAGAGAGAGAGAGAGAGAGGAGAGAGAGGAGAGAGAGAGAGAGAAAGATAGAGAGATAATAGAGAGAGAGAGAGAGAGAGAGAGAGAGGGAAAGAGCAGATAAAGAGTAGAAGAATTAGCTTAAAAAACTTCAATCTTATTACACATCTGTTTCAGTGCTCATTGAGTTTGGATTTAAAAACATCGACTGATGATGCCTCAACAATATGTCAGCAGAAAGGCGATTATTCCAAGAATTAACTACATTCAGATAGTGGCAAGTGAAACTTTTAAAGTCATTGGACAATGTTGGATATCAAACACCTCGATAAACTTCCTGGCAACTGACATTTCATATTGTACAAGGATACATGCTATAAAATAATATAGCTTTAGGTATAAGCCCTACATGTAAATTTCCATAAATACCATTTTGCCCCCTCTTCTCGTTCCTGTATTTCTCCGAGACTCTGTCTCTATCACCCTCTCCACTCTCTTCCTCCGTTCCACCTCTTTCTCCTCATTCTCCAATCATCTGTATCTTTTTCTACACCCCTCTTTCCCCTCCCAATCTCTCTCTCTCTCTCTCTCTCTCATCATCTCTATCTCTCTCTCTCTCTCTCTCTCTCTCCTTCCCCTCTCTCTCCCGTCTCGTCTTTCTCTCCCTCTCTCTCACATTCTCACCCCTCCCTCACTCCCTCCCCCTCTCTGTCTCTCTGTAAAAGAAAATTCCCACACACTCACAAACACACCCCCTTTCTCTCTTTTCAAAGTCCTCAATAGCCATGATAATGGCTATAAATATATTTAAAAGTTTCATGGGAGAATTTTGTGAAGAATGCACCTTCTTAACAATAACGGTCAAAATCCTACCCCCCCCCCCCCTCCTCCCCCAATATTTCCTCTCAGTCTTCATTTCATTATTCTCTCCCTCTATTAATAGTCCTCTCAAGCTGAAAATAACATTTGACAAACTGGTATGATATAAGCGCTTTTTTCAAGATTAAAATTTTATTACATTTTCACATGCAACATACTCTCCACCACTGTGGTCATTGTATTATTTGGGGATATCTATTCCGCCTGTGTAACAAACTGTATCATCATGTACCTTATCATCATCCTGAAAAACAGATGCATTCAGAGCTGCTCTCGGTGACATGACTTCCTTTTGAAAGGTAGTTGAATCATTTCTCATAGTTTCATGAGCAATGGGGTCATTGTGATGTGCCTGTTTAAGCTTGAACATTTCTATTTTAAGTTGAACATTTTCACTTTTAAGTGCAGAATATTCTCTCTTAATTTCAGAATTTTCTCTCTTAATTACAGAATACATGTATTCTCTCTTAATTTCATGATTTTCTCTTTTAATTTCAGACATGTCTCTCTTAATTTCAGACATTTCTCTCTTAATTTCATCACTTTCCCTCTTTCTGTCATAATTTTCGGATTTGAGTGACACAACATCTATTTTAATGTTATTGTTGTCCCTTTTCAACAGATTCATAGATTTCAACATTTCATAGTACTTCAAACAATAATTATTCACCCTTACAGACTGACTGACAATTCTCTTTTTGATTTGATCGATTTGTGAGGTGTTTGAAATGGACCTCTTTGTGACCTGAGATAACTCGTCAGGTGCTCGAGCACCAACTTCATCCTCCTTGGAAGAGAGGCTCTTTGGACGAGAAAATATCTCCTCCCCCTCATATTTCAATTTCTCCCGTTCCATATCCATGGCATTGACTTCCTGGGTAAAGCTATCACCTCCTGCATTATTTGCAGGAGGTCGATATGTAACCTTATCGTCCAGGGAAGAGAGGCTAAGGGGCAGAGAAATCGTCCCTTCCTCTCGAAGAGATGGATCGCCACTTGGTGGAATGCAGATATCAGCGATATCTTCTATAGGAGCCATTTGGTCCAGGGCTTGTGCTCCAGGACCTGTCACTTCCGGAGTAACTCTAGTAGTCTCTTCAGAATTGATGCCTGGGCGTGGTGAAGGATCGCCAAGGTTCTTGATGTCCAGTGGAGCCTGGTCTTGGGTAGGAAGTTCTCCTTCCGATTGATTATCATCGAGTACCATGTCAGGTTCCCTTGATGAATGAAATTATTAAACAAAATAGTTTATTAATAGGAAAGAAGAGTTTATTCTAAAATTGACCCGAGGAATGATTAATCTATCATGTTCATATCTATACGGATTGCTTCGACCCTTTTCAAGAATGAAGTAGTAAAAGGGTTGTTTCCTACTTAAAAAACAATATGTTTGACAACATGTTAAACCTTACATGACTGTTAAAATATTATATTATTACAAAGTATAATATATTCCAATGATTAAACATCAAATCAAATCAAAATCAAATCAATAATTAAGAGAATCTCTTTCCTGCTTGACATGAGAGCAGGTAACATGTTAATTAGAAATCAGTTCCTGTTTTCACATCTGATTTTACTTGTAATTATCCTGATGACGACGATTGGGTTGCATGTTGGTATAGCGTTTAAATGTAGACATCCAAAGTAAAACCGGCTTGTTTTATAGTGTCATTTTTGCTAGTACATCTACTTTCAAAATGCTTTTTTTTTTCCTTCAAAATATGACTAGGTATTAAGATCTTTTGTTTTGAGGACCTATGACAATATGCTATCTTCAGCATGCCTCAACAAAAAAGTCATTTCAATGTCCTCATAGACGATTTATTTGCCAGTTTGAGATTCCTATGTCTGGAACATTTAAATATTCATAACCTCCATATTGTTATAAACATTCGAAATGTCTCTAATCTGTTTCTCTGATTTCTTTGTCTTCTGCTTTCATTCAATTTAGCTGGTTAGAACTATTCCAAATGGCATGAGAAGTTATCTTTATTACAGCGTTTTAAAGTTTGAAACTGGATTATGTTAGTTATCTCGATCATCTTTGATACAGGCATGGAAGATCTAGCCAACCATTTTGTTTATTTTTTATTTATTTATTTTTTTATTTATTTATTTTAAAATATTTTTTTATATTTTTTTTTATTTATTTATTTTTATTTATTTTTATTATTTTTTTTATTTATTTATTTATTTATTTTTTTTTTTTTGGGGGGGGGGGGGTCAATGACAGTAAAAAAAAAAACACCGATATATCTACATTTCAATCATGACAAAAAGGAAATATCTTCAGTTTTGAGGATCTTTACTACGGGTTTGCCTTGTATTATGTGTGCATTATTCAGTTTTGAAACACCCAACTTTGTATGTGAACTCAGTGTGCAACATTCAACAGCTATATGTGAAATATAGTCAGATGGGAGCTCTAAAATCATGACGTCTTAGCTGAGGCGATTATTATGATTTATGGAATAGAATATATAAATTCATACCTTGAATATTCTTTAGCACATTTGGTTGAGTTAGTTCCCATTGTAGCAGAGACGTACCAGTGGTAGTGCCAACTGTATCTAAACCAAAAAAAGGACAATTTGTGAAATTGAAAAGATGTTGAATGTCATGTATTTACTTCTAGTCCTTTTAACGAGTTAATTATGATAACAACTTCGAGTTTGATTAGCAAAATCTGAATGAAAGCTTTGGTTAACCAGTTTTTGTATGGACAATCTAATTTGCGCACTCGATAAAAATGGCGCCGGATGAGGAAAAAAAAATCTAATAATAGTCGAACAAACGTACCCGATACGTTGATAAACAATACATGTATGTTATGACGTATCAAGTTCAATGAATATTCTCATCTGAATTCATTGTAAAAACAAATCAAATTATAAGTTTTCGTGTACGAGTCATCTTTGCTGCAAAGCTGATTAATAACTCAATTAATTCTCACCTTTAATCTGAAGTTATGAAGGCTGAAAATATCGTTTTAAGGCTGTTCTTGTTGCATATTTGTCCACGACCAGCTCAATGGTTGCTGTTCATAATGATTATGAATGGTTATGAATGTTTGGTTTTCCCCGTTGAATTTCCTGACGTTAAAGAGAAAGTTTAGTTCTGGGGAGAGGTAAAAAATAAGTTGTGAGCGTTGTCATTGTTATTATGCAAGTGTGGCAGAACATCAGAGAGAAAATGTCCCCTGAAATACATGGCTCTTCAAATGCCTCCATATTCTAAATATGACATGTAACAGCTTAAAATGAGAACCACAATGTTTATGCCACATGTTTGTGTAGTCCCGTATACATCTTTCTGTGTAAAGTGCTTGTTACTTTTACCAAGACTTGGCCAAATTTCTTATCATTTTGATGATTCCAGAACCTTGCAGTACACACCAATGCTTATATGCTACATGATCATCTTTTTCTGACCGATTCCACACCGTTTCTTACACTATACAATCTCATGACCAGAACTCAACAAAAGAGCTGTATACTTTGGATATCGTGAGTTACCATGTAGGTTACAAAGGTCTAGCCATGTTCTGCCACATCATGTGACCTGTTCCACGGTCTTTGGGTAAAGTCGACCTTTTTAAAAATTATGCCAAGGCCTATAATATACTGGTTAGTATCTAAATGCGCTTTATTAATACGATGGAAGCATTCTTCAGACTAATACGAGTTTATGATCTGACTTGGAATCACACAACCCTTCTTTAAAATCTTGTAATTAAGCCCAAAATTCAAAATCATGAATTGATATCAGGCCATTATTATATCTGCATGTGACAGACTTCACCATCCTGTAGGACTATATTACAGGCATATCTTAATATGATGAGTTGATTTCAAAAAGAAGGATGAATGTAATCCTATAGCCACTGTCTGAATTAAACATTTAAATAAGAAGCACTAAATGTATATTCCTTATCTGGGCTTACTGTTTTCATAGAAGGAATATGTATGTGATAACATGTAGCCTATATCATGTCTAGATAGAAGAATATCATTTCCAGAAAATTCCAGGTATTTATATTTTACCGACGATCAGTGTCACAATATTTTTTTGTACATTATTGTGATTTAATTTTTTTTTAAATAAATTTGAAGGAAAATCATTTTGCTGCTAAATTGAGGTGATTCCTTGAAAGAGAGAAACTTGTTTGATTTTAATTTATACATGTACTACTCTTCAAAGGCGCAAACGACAAATGGAAATGCACCCAACATTTGGGGCGAAATATATGGAATAATGTTTCCTTCTTCTACCCTCTATTCTATCCCCTCTTCTACCCCCTCTCCCTCCTACTTCCCGAAGATACATCAGTTTTCTTTTAACTTGATCCCCATTTGCGCTTAGGGTTATGTCTCAGGTCAATGTACTACAATCATTAGGGAAAGAACAACATTCTCTCTCGATCACAGGTTCTTTCTTCTTTCTTACCACATGCACCCTGTTTTTTCTATCACAACACTGGTCCTCTCATACAACTCCCTTCTCTCTCCACAACAATACTGGTCTTTTCTTTCATACCACATCCTTCTTTCTCCATCATAAAACTGGTCATGTATCTTTCAATTTCTCGCCCCTCCCCCCCCCCCCCCCCCCCCCCCCCCTTCCTCTCCCTCTCTTACACGAACACACCCCTCTGGCTCTCTTGTCAACGTCCTATACGATAAATAGGCACGATAGGACAATATTATATTTAAAAGTTTCATGGAAGAAGTCTGTTAAGAAGATATCTCTCGCATGCAGCTTCCTAAAAATTACGATCGACATTTTTTCCCCACAATATTTCCTCTCAGACTCATTTTAATTTATTAGTAGTCCTCTCAGTCTACCCGTCTGTCATTTTCACCTTACTACTCCCGCCCCTGTCTCTGTCTCTTCCCCTTTCTCTCTCTCTCTCTCTCTCTCTCTCTCTCTCTCTTTCTCTTCGTACTATTGGAAATAAAACGACCGAATCAATACTGCATCGTCTGATTATTTATCGATTTATTGACAACTCAACTCTCAATTCATTTACTTTGCAAAGAGATCAAGCTTGCATTCATATTTGACAAACTGGTATGCTATAAGCTTAACATACTCTGCACCTCTGTGGTCAATGTATTCTTCGAGGATTCCTACTCCTCCTGTGTAGCCAACTGTGCCATATCATCAGCCTGAAAAACAGATGCATTCAGAGCTGCTTTCGGTGACATGACTTCCTTTTGAAAGGAAGTTGTATCACTTCTCAAAGCTTTATGATCAATGAGATCTTCGCGACCTGCCTGTTTAAGCTTAGACATTTCGATCTTAAGTCGATCAATCTCTCTTTTAAGTGCAGAATTTTCTTTCTTAATTTCAGAATTCTCTTTCTTTACATCATAACAGTACTGTCGATTTTAGAGGTGCTTCTGACCTGATATAACTCGTCAGGTGCTCGAGAAAGAACTCCATCCTCATTGGAAGAGAGGCTCTTTGGACGAGAAAATATCTCCTCCCCCTCATCATATTTTATATTCTCCCTTTCCATACCCATAGCATTAAACTCGTGATAACCGCTATCATCTCCTGTATTATTTGCAGGAGGCTGATACGTAACCTCTTCATCTAGGGAAGAGAGGCTAAGGGGCAGAGAAATCTCCCCTTCCTCTTCAATGCTTTTATCATGAAGAGATGGATCGAAAAAACGAACTTCATCCTTATTGGAAGAGAGGTTCTTTGGTCGAAACAATATCTGGGTAAAGATATCACCTCCTGCATCACCTGCAGGAGGTAGATATGTAACATTATCATTTAGGGAAGAGAGGCTATGGGGCGGAGAAGGGTCCTCTTCCTCTATATAGCTACCATCCTGAAGAGATGGATCGCCACTTGGTGGAATGCAAATATCAGCGATATCTTGGTCTGGGGCTTGAGCTCCAGGACCTGTCCCTTCTGTAGTAGCTCCAACAGTCTCTTCAGTATTGATGCCTGGGCGTGGTGGAGGAGGATCGCCAAGGTTCTTGATGTCCAGTGGAGTCTGGACTTGGGTAGGAAGTTCTCCTTCTGATTGATGGTCATAGAGTACCATGTCAGGTTCCCTGGATGAATGAAATTATTTGTTAAAACTTTGTTAATACGAAAGAAGAGTTTCATCCTAAAGTTGACACTGGGAATGCTTACTTTATCATGTTCATATCTATACGGATTGCTTCTCCACTTTTCAGGAATGAAGTAGTACAAACAAATTTTTTCTTACTTAAAATACAATATGTTTGACATTCAATTTGTTTTCATTCTACCTTACATGACTGTTAAAATATTATATTATTACGAAATATAGTTACGAAATATGATATATTCAAATGAATAAACATCAAATCAAATCAAAATCAAATCAAAAATTAAGAGAGCCCCTTTCCTTCTCGACATGAGAACAGGTAAAATGATAATTAGCCATCCGTTTATGTTTTCACATCAGATTTTACTTGTCATTATCTTGAAGACGACAATTAAGGGTTACATGTTGGAATAGAGTTTAAAATGTAGACATCCAAAATAAAAGCTTTCTTTCCTACAACCCCTCCCATTTGCAACAAAGTCATTGACATGACATACATGTAGTCTATTCTTACCTATACACATGGTAAACAAGTAAGGTTGGTGGATATTCACAACACATGCGTGTGTCCATCTGGTTCAAGTGTCTGTGTGGGTATCAAAGTTTGAACACCTTACATTGTTTACGACTGTGTAAACAACAACTGAATTTTTGTCTTATAATTATGACGACACTAAAATAACCAAGTCTTTGCCAAATGTATAAAGCATTGGATTATAAAGTGATTGTACGACCCACTTAAGAAATATACCTTGAACTCTCTGCAACACAACTATTTGAGTGTTCGTCCATTTTCTTCATCCAATGATTAATGGTAGTGCCAAGTTTTGATTTGTATCTCTCTAGAGTCCTGTCAAGAAATAAAAACAACAATTTGTCGAATATGAACAAAGAATATAAACATATAAGCATAGAGATATCATGAAATCTAAAATATTCTTTGCAAACATATTTCAGAGTCCATTGTGGCATGCTAAAGTTTGTTGTGCAGAATCTGAGTAAGGATGGCCATAACTTTAAGCAGGGCGCAGAGCGTCTTCAAAAGTGGAATCACCAACGAAAATAAAACCTTTCTGGAAAAAGGGGCATCTACAAAGGTAAACCTCAAAGTTTAAACATACAATGTTTAGACATTGGTATATACCCCTACATCATCATGGTTGTGTACACTATCAGGGATGACATCAATTTTGTTTCTCTCTTTACATGGTCCAATATACTGCTTATAACAAGCATCATACTTTGCATATGGGTGTGATGGTCTGAATGTTAATTTACGAGCGAGCAAAGCGAACGAGCAAAAAAATTTAAGATTCAAGATTTCTTAAAAGTTCCTGAAGAGCACAATCTTAAAGACTGAAAAGCCCTTATAACTTTATAATAATTATAACAATTATAAATGCGAGGGAGCTCTTTGAAGAAGGGGGGCTTTAAGTTGCTTTAAATTAGGTGCGCATGTTATGGAGAAAGGAAAAAGGGGCATTTATTCGAAAAGGAAGAGTGCACGTGTCAAAGTAAAATAAGGTAGTTATCAAAGGTGAAAATGGGGCACTTCTCGCTCCTGAAAAAAAGACACTCACCAGAGATGAAAAGGCACTTATAAGAATGGAAAAGGGGTATCTGTCTAAGGAAAAGGGGCTATAGGGTTATCAAATATAGTGGCTATCAGATTCATATTAAAAAAATTAAAAAGGGGGCACATATCCAAGGAAATAGGGTACTTATCAGAGGTTAAAGGGGGCATTTCAGAGAGAGGAATGGGGTTCTCGTCAAAACGTGAAAAGGGCACTTATCACAAGGAAAAAGTGCACTTATTAAAAGGGAAAAGGGGCTCGAGTCAAACTGAAAAGTGCAATCGTCGGAGGTAAAAAGAGACATTTGTGAGAAAGGGAAGGGGCTACTATTAAAAAGAGAAAGGGCCTCTTATCAGAAGGGAAAAGGGTACTTATTTGAAAGGAAAAGGGGCACGTGTCACAGTTAGAAGGGAAATTATCAGAGGTGAAAAGAGGAATTCGTCGGTCCTGAAAAGAGGCACTCACCAAAGATGAAATAGGGCATTTATGAGAAAAGAAAAGAGGCGCTTATTATAAAGGAAAAGGGGTATTTGTAACTTTAGACAGAACTCAGTTTGTCCTTTCATGCATTTGTGTTCCTTTAAATCTAAGGGAGTGGTCGAGATTATATAATATCCTTCATGCCTTTTTAACTTTATTTTGTCGTTTCTGTTAGTGTTTGGGTGTGTAAATATAGTATGCGTGTGCGGGATGGGTTCATCTTTTTCTGACCTCTGATCAACTCTACTGCCTTCTTTGGAGATGAAACGTGGTAGCGGCAGTATCGATTCGTGAGAAGGAGGGGGGGGGGGGGGGGGGGGGGAGGAGCTTGTGGGCTCAAGCTTTAAGTGAGGAAAACAACGGAACCCCCCCCCCCCCCATTATCTTTTATTCTTCTATAACCGTGCCTGTGTATATGGGTTCATTATATTTTGCAAGCCTCTTTGTTTTGTGTTCTTAGAAGTTGGAGGTTGACTTACTCTGGAAGGGGCCTTACTTGTAAAGTGTTTTCAAACATTTATCAATTATGTGACAATGAGTGATTGATGCCTCCCCCCAAAAATACCAATTGGTATTTTTGTCATCTATTTTTATGCAATTTTGTTTATTTATCTATTATTTACTTGTGTTCATATTTACTCATCAATCTATTCATTCATTCATCTAATTTTTTATTTACATCAGCATATTTTCATTTTCACTACCACATTATTGTCACCCTCGATTTTTATTTTTTATTTTCTGTAATCGAACCTCCCCCCGCCCCCCCCCCCCTTCCCTATCCCCCTGGCTATCACGCTATGATATCAAGCAATCGCTAATTGCAATAAATCTGCTTCTTCTGCAACTTTCTTACTTAATAATCCTTGGTATTGTGTTATCAGTTAAATCTTTTTTTTATTGTCTTCATTTATTACTATTATATTGTATACACATTCAAAAGAACTGGTTATATTTTGTATATGTTGTATTGCAGTTTGCTGAAACGTTGTTTTATTTGAATGTTGCAGAAAAAAAATATATTCCAATTCAATTATTGCAAAGGAAAAGGGGCACTTATCAGATTTTATAAGGGGCATTTGTCATAGGTAAAAACAAATATGAGAACGGGAAGGGGCACTTATGAAAGAAATGGGGAGGGGTGGACTCATTTTCTTTCTCTGTTGATACTCCTCCAACCACCAGTTTTACTCATATTCATTCTCCTAGATATTCTTGCAGTTCATAAGATGGCTAAACTTTAAAATACCATTATACCAATAGGGTTTATGTACATAAACGTCGAAGACCTATAGGGTTAGAGTTAGGTTTAGTGTTACTTAACAAACCTACATCTTCAATTTAGCTTCATTGGTGAAGCGTCGGATACACTACGAAAGTCTGGTCAATAATTGTTGTGGTGGGGTATTCTAAAGTTGCTCCCATAAGATCATGATACATGTCGGCTCCAGAGTATTTTGACAAAATGTAGTCACATATTCGGCGTTTAGATCAGGAACATAAATTGCGCATACGATAAAAGACATTTTTCTGCAACATTGGCGGTCACATAAGTATATCCATACACTTAAAGACTTATCAGGAGACGAAGAATAATATGGCAAGAGGTTCCAACTGTATTTTTCACTAAGCTACAATGCGGTCATCTTTTTTTCTATATAGGCCATTTTGACATCACAAAATGCAAGGAATTGAGAGTCTGTCTATTCGGAATGGAGCAAGCGTACTAACAACTTACCTCCACTGTCGAATTTACGTGACGACAGTTCTGATCCCGAGTTATGATTATTATCCCGCCAAACTGCGGTATTTATACGCTTTCGGAGGATCCAAATTTCGATTTCAAGTTCCCGCCCGTATGCAAATTAGCAGAGGTACGCCCAAGCTCTAATGTAATTGGTCTAAACGGCCAGCTCATGAATTATGAATGTTTTATTTTTGGCACGAATCCAATTGCTCGGGAGAGCAGACATAAATAGCTTGGGGAATACCAGATAATGATATAGGGTGGTCTGATATCAGATAATGCTTATCTACGTTAGGGACCTCGGAATCACTGTGGACGAAAACAAATAACTTGATTTATGCTAAAATAATTTATGAGTTAGCTATCATTTAACCAACAAAGTATGAGTATTGGGGAAATATCTGGTAATTTGCATAATATTCAAATGTCAAGGCAGACAGATACCGCAGAGTTGTCATTAATGCCCTCAAAAAGAGAATAAATACCGTCGAGTTTGGCGAAAGGGTACAAAGTATTCATGCTAAATCGAATCTTTTAGCACAATGGAGATAGGAGGTTGGTGCTCTCACCTAATTCAGTCCAACCTTGAGCTATTCTTTGATTTCAATGTGTACATACATACGTACATAATATATATATATATATATATATATATATATATATATATATAAATAAAATACACGTATTCTTTACGTATTCCTTCTTCACATTTTTCATGATACTGAATTTTAAAATGTTTCAGTGACTCAAACTGTTATCAAATCTTTCTTTATTGCTTTCGAATTTTAGTTATACAATATTTTCTATTTTATTCTGGAAAATAAAATATACAAACTCTGCTTTTTGATAGCTTGGTTCCCCATATTTCACATTGCTATTTCTCTTTCATGTTTACACGTCTATCAATCAATGTTTTCATTCTGCATTCTCTTGTTAAATCATGTGTATGAAACAATCTTGTTATGTGGCATGTGGAACGTCTAAGTAAGATCATTTGTTTTGAGGACCAATATGACAATATGCTATCTATTTTCAGCATGACCCAAACAACAAAAAAGTGATAGGAGAAATCAGTGTTGACTTACATTACTACTTGATTCAAATGATTCAAATGATTTTATTTCTCATGCAAAACATAATACAATGAATAATTATATTACAAAAATCAGTATGCAATGAAACGACAAATATAATAGAAAAAAGCACGAGAAAAGAGGAACTAACTATAGAAGCAGAGCTTGTTGAAGTGTTAGTTCCTCAGATGCTGTTTTACAATATAACATGAACAAAGTATGCTTAGAAAATCAATAAATAGAAAAAAATAGGTAGCTAAGAAATTATTACTTACTACTTACTTACTTACATTTCATTTGTCCTTAGAAAGGATATATTTGCCGATTTGAGATTCCCATGACTGCAACTTTTAAATATTCATAACTTTCTTATTTGTTTTCCTGATTTCATTCAAAATTTCACTAATCTGTTTGTCTTCTGTTTTCATTCAATTTACCTTTTTGGAAAAAGAGAAGGTTGTTGTATCCCAACATTAAGGAGTGTATTTACTCGGCGTCATAACGCAAATGATCAAGTGAAAAGAAAAATGATTTTGCTTCGGTGAATCGGGATTAGGAGGGAGAGGGAGTACAAGAGGGATATATTATCACATATGTTTTGTCCCAAATGTTGTGTGCCTTTCACTTTCGTTTTCTTTGTTATAGGCTACCCTATAGCACCGCCTCTGAAGAGTAGTATGAACTAATATCAAACAAATTAATGTGTCACGTGGCTCTCTTTTAAGGGATCACCGTAACCTCAATTAAGCAGCAAAATGATTTTCCTGCATATCAATATTTTCTTTGTATTATTACAATATCTATCGTGACATTGATCGTCAGTAAAGAAATTAATGTTTGGAAATTTCAGGAAACAATATTATAGTCTTCCACCTAGACATGATAAAGGCTACATGTTTACGGAATACATATTCCTTTTATTTTTGAAACAGTAAGCCCAGATAAAGAATATACATTAGGTGCTTCTTATTTTAATTTTTAATTTAGACAATGGCTTGGATTAATTCATCCTTCCTTTTTAAATCAAATCGTCATACTAAGATATGCCTGTAATATAGTCCGACAGGATGGTATCGAAGTTTGCTCACATACATGCAGATATAATTATGGCATCAATTTATGATTGAATTTGGGCTTAATTACAAGTTTTTAAAGAATTTTGTGTAATTCCAAGGTCAGATCGGTCAAGGTCAAACTTGTATTATAGTCTGAAGATGCTTGTATCGTATTAATAAAGCGCATTTACATATTAACCAGTACATTATAGGCCTTGGCATAATTTTAAAAAGGTCTGCACCCAAAGACTTAACGTCTGAAAGGGCGACGGGGAAACCCAGATATTCATGACCACCATTCATAACCATTATAAACAGCAACGATTGAGTTGCCTGAGGACAAATCTGTGAGAGAACAGCCTTAAAACGATATTTTCAGCCTTCACAACTTCAGATTAAAGGTGAGAAATAAATGAGTTATTAATCAGTCTATAATTTGATTAGTTTTTACAATGAATTCAGATGACAATATGTCATTGAACTTGATGCGTCATAATATATTATTGTTTATCAACGTACCGGGTACGTTTGTTCGACTGTTAGAATGTGTTTGTTTTTTCCTAAGCCGGCGCCATTTTGATCGAGTGCGCAAATTAGATTTATCCATACAGAAACTGGTTAACCACAGCTATCGTTCAGATTCTGCTAATCAAACTCGAAGTTAAAAGTGATCGGAGTAAAAACACGTCATTTGAAATCGTTTCAATTCGACAAATTGTCCTTTTCTTGGTTTAAATACAGTTGGTGTTATCACTACACACTTGTCTCTGCTAACATAACAACGATTCGATGGTAACGACTACAAGCAAATGTGCTAAAGAATATTCAAGTTGTGAATTCATATTTTCTATTCCATAATTCATGATAATCGCCTCGGCTAAGACGTCATGATCTATTCATTTTGTATTCTATAGTGCTACTATCGGACTATTAGATATTCCCCATCTAGGCCTACCTGTTGAATATTGCACAAGTTCACAGAAAAAAAATGGATGTTTCAAAACCGAACAATGCACATAATTATAATAGGCAAACCTGTAGTAAAGATCCACAAAACTGAACATTATTTCCTTTTACAAATTCGAAATGTAAACATATTGTTTTTGTTTTTGTTTTTACTGTCATTGACCCCCTCCCCCCCCCCCAAATGGTTGACTACATCTACCATGTCTGTATTAAAGAAGGGCGAGAGGAGTTTTATATATCTCCAGTTTTCTTAATAATTTTGGAAAACAAAGTTTAAAACAGAAAGGTAACTTTAAATATATGTAATAAAGATGACTTCTCATGCCAATTGGAATAGTCCTCAGATGTGAAACATTCTTAATGGTTTTAATCAAACAAAGTATAATGATACTTAACTTTCTGCAATATGAATAAACTTTGATAACATCTTCCAAGTTGTGTTTTAAGAGAACCAGAACATATTACAGGTTGAAATTAGTCATTACACTGATAATTCGTACATTTAAGAATTTATTGTTTGGCCCTTCGAAGTGAACGATTTTAAGGGCAATTTAACCTTTCCAACAAGTTAAATTGAATGAAGAAAAATAAATTCCGAATAACATCAGACAAACAATAAGAAAGTTATGATTATTTAAAAGCTGCATCCATGGGAATCTCAAACTGGCAAATTAGTACTCTTTAAGGACGCTGAAATGGAATTAAATAACGCTTTCTCCTAAAGCACACTTTTTCTTGGAGGCATGCTGGAAATAAAATAGATAGCATATTGTCATATAGGTCCTCAAAACAAATGATGAGTCCTTTGTTGAAATGGAAAATATAGTCATTTGTGTTTATTTGTTTGTTTGTTTTATTTTCCGAATTCCACATAACAAGATTGTCTCATACATAAAATTTAACAAGAGAATGCATACTGAAAACACTGATAGACATGTAACATGAAAGAGAAATAGCAATGTGAAATATGAGTTTGTATATTATATTTTTCCGAATAAGATACAAAATATTGTAAATGAATTCGAAAGCAAGAAAGAAAGATGTAATAACAGTTTGAATCACTGATAACCCATTTTTAGATTTAGTATTATGAATACGTAAAGATAAGAATTCTCTGACATCAGATCATCCTATATCATAATCTGGTATTCCCCAAGCTAATTTATAACTTTTCTACCGAGCTTTCGGATTTGTGCCAAAAGTAACATATTCATAATTCATGGGCTGGCTGTCATTTTTTGCACTACAACCTCACAAAATAAAAGTACCCCTTTTTGTTAGTGCCCCATCCCCCCACTTTGGAAGATGCTCCATCGCCCCTGGTTAGAGAATTGGCCACCATGACTCAGATTCTGCACAACAAACTTTAGCATGCCACAATGGACTCTGAAATGATTTTTTTTTTTGCAAAGAATATTTTAGATTTCATGATATATGTATGCCTATCTGTTCATATTCTTTGTTCCTAATTGACAAATTGTCCTTTCTTTCTTTACAGTACTCTAGAGAGATACAAATCCAGACTTGGCACTACCATGAATCACTGTAAGAAGAAAATGGATGAACACCCTAACAGTTGTGTTACAGAGAATTCAAGGTATATTTCTTAAGCGGACCTTACAATTGCTTCATTATCCATTGTTTTATAAATTTGGCAAGACTTGGTTATTTCAGTGTCGTCATATAGGATAAAAATTAATCAATTGTTGTTTACAGAGTCGTAAACAATGTTAGGTGTTCAAAATTTGATACCCACACTTAAACCAGATGGACACATGTGTTGTGAATATCCACCAACCTTATTTTTTACCAAGTTTATAGGTAATAATAGACTACGTCATGCCAATTTTTTTTTTTTTTTTTAACTTTTGTGTTGAACTCACAATACCATGTAAAGTAATTAAGGCCTTCCCTAACAGCAAACCATGGGTCACAACAGAGTTAAGGGATTTGATCAAACAAAAAAGAATTGCAGTATATCAAGGTAACGATGTACTCAAGAAAGAGCTACAGAAAG